CACGCATGCGATGGCTGCTGTCCTGTTTGRCACTTGCTGCACTGATAGAAGTTCCTCCGGGTGTGCCAGCCCATGAGAGACGCTCACCAGACCGTCTATAAATATTTCTGGTTGGGAGTTCATTGTGATTCTGGCTGTTATCGTCGTCCTGACTGCGACGTTAAATAATTCCTGAAGAGATGGGGGCGCTCTATAAATCCCTCCTGATCAGCCAGATCACATGGACAGGAAGGCTCGTCGCCGTACGAGGGTAAATAAGAGTGGTTGGGCTGGCTTGCTCGGTGACAACTTGGGCACAGGGGTGGGCCGAAATGCACACGAACACACTGCCTGCTCAATGATGCTGTTCGGATGGTTGGATTGGGGGGAGGTTAGGTTTCAATTGGTGCTCAACTGTATATACAACCATACCCATTAATCATACATCTGTTACATTGTCTTTTTGTACCTTTGATTAGTTGGTTGACGGACTGCTAACCTCACAGACAGATTAGTGTAGGACTGTTGTATGCTACCATAGCCAGTACTAACTAATGCTGCTGTAAGTGAACCAGTCAGGGTGCATCTAGACTATGTAGACAATCTGTGTGAATGTTGTAGACATGCCACTTGATTCGGTATAGTAGGGGACTCGCTGGACACAACTATATATAGAAAATTTTGTGTCGGTCAGATACATGCTCCGGTAGGATTCCACTAGGGGATTCTAGTGTAGACACTATCTGTCTAACTAATGAGTGGGTCAGATCCTGTTGATGATAGAGCTGACAACAGGAGACTAACACGTGCACGGGCACTAAGGGTACCGCACGTGTTTCAGGCCTTGGAGCCGGGAGAAGAAAGAAGGATACGTAGAGCCCGTGCGCTAGCAGCGGGGATAGCAGAAGCAAACAGAGCAGCAAAAGAGCAGGCAACAACATGCAGAGCAGCTGCGATGGCTAACGGCGCAAGCTCTGCTGCGTCATCATCTACGTCCTCGTCAGGGAACAGTGGGATGAGTGTGGGAATGCCAACTAGTTCCACAAGTTCCTCATGCACTCCCGTTTCCACAGGCTCTAGTCAGTCTTCTAGTCAAATGGCGGGTTCGCAGTTCAGCCCGTTGACCCCGCGTCAGAGGGAGCTCAAAGAGATCGAGCAGGTCGAGATGCTCCGCCGTAAGTTAGAGAAGGACCTGAAAGATGCTACCGATAGAGAAAATGCGATGAAAACTAGAGCAGCCAGGCTTGAATCTTTAGAGAATGACAAGGCTGAACTAGAGGGTTTGGATGGGTCAACGTTAACTGACCCACTGAAGGTATTGAAGAAGAACATGCTGTCATTACACGCACACGTGGAAAGCAAGTTAGACTTCATGCAGAGCACTCTAGACCAGATCCTGGATGCTTTGACAAGGCTAGGATTCCGGCCACCAGCACAATCGCCGTTGCCGTTATCGGCGATGTCAGGCCCCTTTCCGGTTCAAGCTGGCACACAACCAAGTGGTACGTCTGCAGCAGCAGCACAGACTGTTGCATCTTCTTCTTCAGGTCCAGCGGTGGTTGCTACACCACCGCAACAATCTGTTCCTGCACAGGGACAGTAGCAAGGTCAATGGTATCCCAAAACCCCAATGAAATCGCCTTTTGCCTTCTCAGGCGAGAGAAAGGACGAGGAACTCAACACATGGTTGAGGACCGTCCCGGTTTGGGTGAAGGGAAAGAGGACCTTGCCTGAGGACAAAGTGGTAACTGTTGCATCTTACCTCGAGGGTAAGGCAGCCAAGTGGTTAGATGGTGTAGTTATCAAGGCCGGGTATGGGAGACGCATGGCGGACAAGGCTAAGTCCCTGATATTAGACCTGTTTATGGAGATGGTAGAAGCTCGATGGCATAACCCACAGGAGGCACAAAAGGCCACTGATGCCATTAACAAACTGGACCAACGCAAGTTCAGGTCAGTTAGGGAGCTTACGACTACCGTTGAGATCCTGATCCTCGTCCTAGGTATCAACTACAGCGACCAGTTCCTGTTAACAACGTTTGTTAGATGTCTCCCTGAGAACATCAGGAACTTACTAGCCAGTGAGGCACGCACTGAGTACCACTCGTTTGAGACATTGTCTACGAAAGCCTTAGACTTAGAGGCCACCCTAGGCAATGCTCAACCCACCTCAGGAAATGACTCAAAGAAGAAGAAGAGTCCCCAGGAGTGGAAGAAGAAGGGGGAAAAGTTGATGATGGTGGAGTCCGATGGAACTCAAACTGAGATCGACGAGCTCTCTGACCTGGTGGACTATTCAGAGTATGATGGCGAGGAGGTAGCTGAGGGTAGCACCCTTGCCGCGGTAGTAAAGACTAAGGCAGGTGGCTGAGGGAAGGGCCAACCTAGGAGTCAAGGGAAGACCGCCTCCAATCAGACCAAACAGTCTGAGTGGGTAAAGGCAAGTCTTGATCAAGACGTGTGGCGTGACCGCCGAATGCGTGGCGCTTGTATCAACTGCGGAGAGTACGGACACACGCAGTGGAAGTGTAAGAATGCTAAGGTTACGCAAAAGGTTGCTCCAAAAGTAGGGACAACCTATTCTCAGGCCTCTAGCTCGGGAAACGCGTAGGGTCAGTAGAAGTAGTAGCGGCTTCTACTCAAGATGAAGTGGGAATGATACCCTCCTCACTTCATGACAAGGCCGAAGCTAATGACTCCTTAGTCACCCCGCAGACACAACTAGACCAAACTATGCTCTGTACGTTAGATGTGTCTGAGGCCTTAGAAGACTTAGAAGGCGGGTGGTCAAACAAGGACCCTCGCGAGTCTTGGGTGGCGCTAAAGAAGGGTCATAGAGGGGAACATTTCGTGGTGGAAGTGGATGTAGGAGGCCGAAAATGTGGAGCCTTCATAGACAACGGATCCACGCGAAATTACATAAGTCGCGATTGTTTGGAAAGGCTGCACCTACAACACCGGGTACGGCACCTTAGTAGACCAGTAGCATCTACTTTGGCCAACAAGGAGCGCATGATTGTCACAGACTACATCAAGAATGTAGTCTGTACCTTCTCCTATGGAGGAGGAGAGCTTAACCATAAGATCTCGTTCTTGGTTAGCGACGACTTGCCATTCGAAATGTTGCTAGGCATGTACTACCTCGAAGTTGCTAAGCCCCAGTTCGACTGGGATAAGAAGGTGCTCAAGCAAAAGTTGTCCGATGGCCAAACTGTCAGATTGACTAAGTTCAAGGTCAGTAGTATAGTAGATACCTATGGCTGCTTGTGTGCATCCGCATTTTACAATTAGTATAAACAGAACCAAGAGGAGGGTACGTACCTTGTTTATGTCTCTGAGAAAGGGGAGGCCGTTAAAACACCCCCAGAGATAGAATGCGTCGTTGCTAAGTTCCCTGATCTGTTCGAGGAGCCCACAGGAGTTGTTGATAGGGAAGTTGTCCACGCTATAGAAATCATTCCAGGGAGTAAGACCCCAAAGGGAAGGATCTATAGGATGGCCCCTGCCGAGTTAGATGAACTTCGGAAGCAACTCAAGGAGCTGTGACAGAGAAGGGATGGATTCGGCCTAGTACTTCCCCTTACGGATCACCTGTTCTATTCGTACCAAAGAAGGGGGGTACTTTGAGGATGTGCATTGATTATAGGGGCCTCAATGCCATCACGGTGAAAAACGCAGAGCCTCTACCTCGCATAGACGACCTACTTGATAGGGTGCAGGGACGCAAGTACTATACAAAGATAGACTTAAAATCCGGATATCACCAGATCCCAATAAGACCTGAGGACCAACAAAAGACAACTTTTCAGACTAGATATGGTCTGTATGAGTTTGTAGTGATGTCTTTCGGTATTTGTAATGCGCCGGGTACGTTCCAGCACACTATGAATCGGATCTTCCATGACCATTTAGATAAGTTTGTCGTGGTCTACTTAGACGACATTCTGATCTTTAGTAAGTCTGTCGAGGAGCACGCACAACATGTTGAGACCGTACTCTCACTCCTACGACAGCACAAGTATAAGGTCAACTTAGAGAAGTGCGAGTTTGGCCGCACTAAGATACTATACTTGGGTCATGCAGTATCCGCAGAAGGGATTAGGCCGGAAGATGCGAAGGTGGATAGTATTCGAGACTGGCCACGACCTCAGACAGTCACTGAGGTCAGATCTTTCTTAGGAATGTGCGGCTGCTATAGGAACTTCGTAAAGAACTATTCTACAGTCGCCTCTCCTTTACAGATCTAACTCGACTTGACACGTCGTGGGACTGGAGTGATGAGTGCGAAGGTGCTTTCAAGCGATTGAAGCATGCACTCATGAATCATGAAGTTTTCATGGTTCCCGATCCGCAGAAGCTATCCATAGTAACCACTGACGCAAGCCAATACGGCATTGGCACAGTGCTGGCTCAGCAGGATGGGAAAAAGTTGAGACCGATTGAGTACATGAGTAAGAAGATGCCATCGAAGAAGTTGGCTAAGTCCACCTACGAAAGGGAACTCTTATGCTCTCTACAAGGCACTTGTACATTGGAGACACTTCCTTTTGGGAAGATTCTTCTATCTGAGGACTGATCATCAGACACTCAAATGGATCAAGACTCAACCGGCTTTTTCGGATGCACTCAAGCGATGGATTGAAGTCATAGACCAATATGACTTCAAGCTTGAGTACCTGAAGGGAGAGTATAACAAGGTTGCAAATGCGCTATCCCGTAGAGCAGACTACCTAGGTGCGCTAGTTTCTGACTTTGGCGTATCTGAAGAAGTAACTCAATCATTGGTGGGAGCCAATCAGGAAGACCCTGTCACGATGGACATCATCCGCAAACTTCAGGCAAAAGACAAGGCCACATAAAGTGAGTTTGTGATGGTGGATGGGCTAATCTATCTAGATAAGGCCGGAATAAAGAGATTGGTAGTTTCATCTAGTGAACAGTTGCGTAGTTTATTTTTAGGCGAATGTCATGACGCAACTGGGCACTTTGGCTACAAGAAAACGAGTGCTGGCTTAGTACAACGATTTTTGTGGCCCAGAATGTTAGATGATGCAAAGAAATATGTTGAGACCTGTCAGGTCTGTCAACGGGACTAGCCGCGAACTCAAGCACCGCTTGGGTTATTGAAGCCTTTACCTATTCTTGATGGTCCAGGATTGAGTGTTTCCATGGATTTCATGGACACCCTTGTAACCAGCAAGAGTGGTAAGAGGCACATCTTCGTCATCATTGACCGATTCACCAAGTACGCTAGACTAATTCCAATGCCAGAGACAGCCAGGACAGAATACGTCATAAAGTTGTTCAAGGACAACTGGGTAAGGGACTTTGGTTTACCAAAGACCATCATTAGTGACCGAGACGTCCGATTCACAAGTGAGCTGTGGAAGAAGACTGCGGAACAGATGGGCAGTCAACTTCAGATGACTTCTGGGAATCATCCCGAAGCCAACAGACAGACCGAACAAATGAATAGAGTTGTACAACACTTGCTGAGGCATTACATCAAGCCCAGCCAGGATGACTGGGATGAGCAGTTACCTCTCATCGCCAGCCTGTACAACAATGTTATACATAGTAGTATCGGCGTTAGTCCTAACCAGCTGCACTTAGGATGGAAGCCTAGATCAGCATTAGACTTCCTCCTACCTGAAAACCGACCCGCTGCAACTCCAGGCACACTTGAATATGGTGTGCAATATGAGAAGTTGTTGCAAGATGTTGTTGAACATATGAAGAAAGCTCAGCAAGCCATGATTGCTTCTGAGAATCAACATCGCAGACAGTCTACATTTCAGGTAGGGGAACGTGTCTGGGTCAAGGCTAGTGAGTTAGGACAGGAGTTCGGAATATCTCGTAAACTAATGCCTCAATACTTTGGTCCCTGGGAAGTCTTGGATGTAGTGGGAGATGAGTCGGATGGTCCCACCTATGTCATTCGTGTCCCTGGACACCTACGCACTCACCAAGTCTTTCATGCCTCAAAGCTTGCACCTTTCGCTGAGACTGATCAATTCCCTTCCAGGAGATCGATGCTGCCCCCAACCATGGATGGACAAGTTGACATCGACGACATTGTGGATCACAGGGATATGCCTGTTCCGAAGCCGCTAGGTCGAGGAAGACCTCCTAAGCCCAAGAGGGAGTACCAGATCAGATTCAGGCATCATACGGATCCTAAAGAAGATCGGTGGTTTACCCTGGAGGAACTGATGGAAACAGCTCCTCAGGTCGTGGCAGATTATGAACGGAAGCTAAAAGGGAAGGCACCTGCGAAGTAAGCATCTCAGCGGACTTTCGAAGCTAAGGGGGATGGAATGTGAGGATTGAGCCCTCAAGTAGGGGCCTTGCCATGATGTACATGTTCTGGGCTAAGGCCCCAGCAAGCCTAGTGCCCGCCCTAAGTGAAGGCGGGCCAGCAAATCAACAAGAGCCCTCTCGGCCAACATTTCACGAAGTGGGGTCTATACAGTTGCAGCACGCCAGTTAGTTGGAGTGCACCGAGTCTCGGATTTCAGCAAATGCTGAAATGCCCAGGGCCTCTGAGTTAGTTAGGCCCTGGGCACTCGAACATGAGGCCGACAATGCATGTTGGGTAGAGTGGCCGAAATGCCTAAGGGAAAATCAGCCCACTATCTGAATCTGGCCGCAGGCCTTGAGAAGAGAGGCGCAACTGCATTGCTCCGGGGCCCAACTGTATCGGGTAGGCTTCAGCCTCTGGGTCCCGGTCGCAGGCTGAAGGAAGGTCGCCCACATGCTGCATTGGCATATAGGCAAGCAGGGTGAGGCAACAAGGATCTTGGCCAATGCTGGCACATGTGGGCACGCTGCGCGGATGCATGTGTGCTGCACTGTGCAAGGCAGTGTTGCGCTAAGAGCAAGCAGGCCAGCGCTAGGCGGTAGGGCGCTGCCTGCACTGAGGGCACTGGCGGCCATAGCCTGGGCCGCAAGAGGGTGCAGGGGAGGTGAGGGCGAAGGTGGTACTTCGGAGGTGAAGGGCGTTGTGTGGGTAACAAGGGAGAGTGTGGGGAAGATGACACATACCTGGTGATGGTGGAGGTCTGCATTGGTGTTGACATCATCACTCGCTGGTAGTCAAGTTGTCTGGCTGCTGTTCATTGCTGTAGTTGTAGGATAGGCTGTAGAGTAGATAGGGCGTCTGGCGCCATTCACAAGAGAGAGCTATATTTGGGTTATGCTGTTGGTGTTGCCCAGTTGGGCATGGACATTGACTCACGATTCTTCTGTATCATTCTCAATGGGATGGTTACTCGGTTCCATGTGCTATYTGCTTTGGCTTTGAATACTTGGACTTCAGTGTGATTTTGCATTCTGGATTTCTGTGCTTCGTCCATACTCATGTTCCTTGCATATATATATATATATATATATATTGGACCATCACTCGATTTATGCGTGTCATCCTTGCGCAGGGGCCATGCCAATATCCGGCGGCTGATTGAGGACACGCGATCCTGATGATCGCGCGACCGAAATCGGTCGCGCCCAACCGCCTGGGCTGCTCCAAAAGGAGCTTTGCCAAGTAGGGCCAGCATATCAGGTTCGATCCCGGTATCTGTCGGGTAAGAGTCATGTGCAGTAACCTACTGGGCTAGCTCCTAAAGTGATAGGAGCAGCTCTTCTATATGAAGAGCTCGCCCAGTCAGTTCTCCCCCATGCCGTGGTCTTGCAGGTTCTGCCTGCTTATGGCCTTGCAGACCCATCCTGCCTGCGGTCCTGCAGGTTTCGCTTGCTTGTGGCCCTGCTCGTTTGGCCGCGTGACCTTAGCATTTGCCTATCAACCCCATGGCTCGGTGTCAACCTCCGCGGCCCAAGAAATAAAACCATTTTTCCCACTACGTCGCGATCCTATACTCGGTGCACCCCTCCTCTTAGCCTACTTAAGCCCTGAATCGCTCGGCTTAGCAGCCGCGCGACATTATTTTAGGTAGACTAGGTCTAACTTTACTCTTTCCATGACCGGGCATCCTTGCGGCCTTGTCCGGAATCGCGGGCGACAGTCCGTACTACTGACTCCCGCTTTGACGTCAGATTCTAAAAAAAAAAATTAGGTCTCTCAGTCATAAGGTTGGTCTTAATAACTTTTGGCAGACGCTAGTCTCATCAAGTTTCCTTAATTTAACGAAAAAGTCAGACAGCGTCCGACATTGAAAAACCCGAGCAGATACCCTTGTAAGGGTTTCTGCTCCGAGACGTCATTAAACGACGTCTGCGTCGTTCACCCTATATTAACAATTAATATAGGTCTGTCTGGATTCTTATGGAACTCCTTTGTAAAAATAATAACAAAATTCTCTCAATCGCAATTAGGCCAAAGCTTATACCAAAATCCGAGTAATTTTCCCCGGTAGTCTAAAATTCAATTACTCTTTATTGGAATGGTACCGAATATAGTTTATGACATGCATTTTTCCAGAACCCTATAATTCATCCGTGGTCTTTGTCCAATCTGAGGACGCTACAATCAAAATAGTCTCCTTCCTTATGAATGGATTTAACTGAGCGATGTTCACGACACTCATCAACAAGATAGAAAGAGAACTTCAATAATATTCAATAAGGCAACAGTCCGGAACTAAGCCGGAGAATTTTCATCAATCCAATGAACGACACTGTCCGTCGTCCGTTATCCGACTAAAGATTAAGATTCTTATAAAATTCTCATATGAAAGCAACAATTACAATACATAACAATTCAACAAACATCCGGAACATAACCGGAATTCTCACATCAACATTCAACTCAACAATAAAACTGGATTTAATCTCCAGAAGTCTTACAATTCACTCTTTCAACAAGATCATTACCCTGTAGGTCTTTTACAGGATCACCCCCCTGCAGGTCTTTTACAGGATCATCCCCCTGCAAGTCTTTCACAGAATCATCCCCCTGCAGGTCTTTCAAAAGGAAACAGTCACATCACAACTCAACCAATTTTCCAATTCAACAAACGTTTTGATTAAGACAAGTTTCTTGCCACAAAACTATTCCCCTGTCAACTGAAGGGAATGACTCCCCAGTTGTTGATGAGAATGGTCTCCCAGTCTACTGATGGGAACGAGTCCCCAGTTGCGGATGAAAGTCACTCCCCAGTCCGTTGATGGGAACCAATCCCCAGTCCAGTGATGGGAATTACTTGCCAGTTTTCTGATGGGAACGACTCCCCAGTTGCTGATGGGAATGACCTCTCAGTCTACTGATGGGAACAAGTCCCCAGTTGCGGATGGAAGTCACTCCCCAGTCTGTTGATGGGAACCACTCCCCAATCCACTGATGAAATCGAGTTGTGAAATCATCCTGTTATAGGTCTTTCACAGGCTTAACCCCCTGTGGGTCTTTCATTCCATCAATATGGAAATGACTCCCCAGTTGCTGATGGGAATGACCTCCCAGTCTACTGATGAGAACAAGTCCCCAGTTGCTGATGGAAGCCACTCCCCAGTCTGCTGATGGGAGTCAGTCCGCAGTCTTTCACAGGCTTAACCTCATGTGGGTCTTTCATTCCATCAATATGCGAATGGCTCTCTAGTTGCTGATGGGAATGACCTCCCAGTCCACTGATGGGAACAAGTCCCCAGTTGCTGATGAAAGTCACTCCCCAGTTTGTTGATTGGAGCCAATCCACAGTCTTTCACAGGCTTAACCCCCTACGGGTCTCTCATTCCATCAATATGAGAACGACTCCCCAGTTGCTGAAGGGAATGACCTCCCAGTCCACTGATGGGAACAAGTCCCCAGTTGCTGATGGAAGCCACTCCTCAGTCTGCTGATGAGAATCAATCCTCTTTTCGGTAATCATTCCTCATCAATCGTCATAACATTCCATAATAGTCATTCTGAAATAAATGAGATCCATTCGGAATCAGGTCTTGTTTGCGATTCAAAACTCCTTTACATTTCATCCAAATCTGAGTGTCTCCTTTCATCAAGCTGTCACACGTAGAGTAGAAACAATTTTACCTTCTACAACTAAGGATGGCTAGACCCTGATTATAGAGGTACGGTGACTATGCCTGACACGAGGAGAGGCAACCACTTCTCCCCTAGTAGCAACCATAATCGTCTACCTACAAATTCACAATTTCTCAACAACGTACATTCAACCAAATACTCACAACAAGAAAACAAATGTTCTCACACAAAATTTCATAATGATCTTTATCGTATATTCTTCAATAATAAGCTGATCAGATAATTCTTCAATAGATAATAGAATTGATATATATCAAAGCAAACAGAATTCTCGTGTCATAAAAATGATGTCAAAAGAAACATCAACCTTGAGTTTATAATGAACTCAGAAATTGAAATCAGAATTTCAACTATCTATTTTTTCGTAACTGTCAATCCCTTGCATTTACTCGGAGTGTGTCCAGTACTACCACATCTCTTACAAATAATATTCTTCCAATAAAATCTTTTTTTCTTTACTCGCTGGTCTCGTTGATTTCGAGACGCTGACTCGCAATGTTCTACTCTTTGAGCAATTGACATCGAAAAATCATCCAAATGATCCCCCCCATTGTCCCTATTTCGCTCACATGGGTCTTCCAACGGACGTTCTATCCTTGCCTTCTGATACTCGTGACAAGAATCATCCTTTTCCTTTTTCAGTATTCCTCTGATTTCTGAGAGATTCGTCACAGGATCTGAATCTCTCTTTCGCTTGTCAACTCGACACTCTCTCTCAATTTTCTGTAAACGAAGTTGTATTCGAAGAGTCTGGTCAAATATTCGACTAAATTATCGATCAATAAAATTTGACCGAATTCTTTTCCAATTGAATTTACTGCTTTCCCCTCGGGTAAGCAAACACTGCTCTCCTTCAGAAAATTTCTCAAGAAAAGCAAGACACTTTTGTCTATCTGTTAACCCCTGAATTCGACGAGCGACCCGTTCAAATTCAGGCAGAAACTTTTCCTTTACTACATATGCATCTCTCTCAACATTCCTCAAGTCCTCAATTGTTGTTAATGTATCACCTAACCAAAATTCGTCTAACATAGCATCGCAAAAATGAGACCACGCTAAGAAAGTCTCAATTATTCGCATGACTATATTCACAAGATCTTTGTCAACATATCTAAGAACTCTCCTCAACATCTGGGGCTCATCCCAATCATTAATAGATGTCAACTGTTCAAATTTTTCGATAAAAATGGAGACAAAATTACCATTGAAAAGAGGAACATTTACCTTTGGTAAACTTTCATTTTCCACAATCCTCTGTTCTACAAGTTGAGCTATTTCAGTCACACTTTGATCCCGAAGATGATTTTTTTTCTTTTCTTTTTTCTCCTCTTCAGGCGGTTCCGAGTATTTGGCAATCATCAACTTTTCGAATTCCTCCCAGGTTCCAGAAACCCGCAACAAATGTCCGACCTCGACCTTCAATTCTTCAAACACAAATCCCAAAACG